GTAACGGTCGACACCCAATCGCTTCAAAGAGTCGAATTTCACGCTTCCTGGTCCCTTTAAACTAGACTAAAAGCTATCAACTATAAGCCGAACGGAAATGACCCGAGCATTGCGAATGCCACCCCGGCGTCATCACCCGAAGTGGCGTAATCGGTTAGGAGTGGTGTCAGATAACAGAGGCGGGGGAGAGACCAAAAAGACTGTAAAAGCTGGGGGTCGTCATAGGCTGACTAGCTACAACAATTAAAAGGCCATATAATTATTCGGATCAAGAATTTGCGTTTCGTCGCTCAGGAATTAATGTAAATTTCTAGGGCGACTCAAAAGCTACCCTAAGCACGCCACAAAAATGCAAATTGAACGTTTTTTTGCTGCTCAGAAAAAGTTAGTAAAAATTCAAGAATATGAAAACTGAAGATCGTATAAAAATTGCAAAATAGAAAATTATACTGCCTCAGGTACAAGCTATAAAACTAGGAACCAAAAACTCATAAGAGCTGGGACCATTTTGGCACCGGGAAAGCCGTTTTTGAGCCACCTTCAAAGGTTTTTACGATCCTGCGATAAGCCGCCGGGGGTCTGCACTCAAATATTTTCTACGTTTCGGAATACCCACGCGGCCGAGAATCAGGTGAGAGACAAGAAAATAAAAGCATTTGTAGTTTGTGAAAATATTTACTAAATCTTAACGTAAACAACGGACTAAGGCAACATAAATATAAAATTTCTCGAACTATTTAAATTAGAATAAATAACTTGCGTGTTTAGGCCAATTGAAATAGAATTTTATGAAGAAAAAATGATGTCTGGGGAACTGTATGGAACCGAAAACAGTTACCCCATTATTTTCCGAGGTGCTGATCGCGGCTGGCAAGACTCCAAAACAGGTCCCCAGCACAAGAGAAAGGCGCTCACCGGGGGACCGCCAAGATTTTGATCGATCCCAATTTTTGTGGCGTAAGCGGTTGGTCGTATGGCCAGTGCGGTGACTCGACAACCGCTAGAGGAGACATCACGTTTTCGAGGAGATAGATATATCCAGAAATTTACCGTGTATAATTCACGACTTTCCAGCAGCGTCAAGATTTATGCATCAAGCTTCAAGTTTACCGTAGGGAAAAAAATGAAAAAGATAAATTTAGTGTAGAGAAAAATTGACCGTACCATTGGCTACCAGATGATCGATTTTATGATTGGCCACGCTTCTCTCTTGAAATTTTTCCTAGCTGGATTGTGAAGGGTGTATACATCTTGTTGATTCAAAAATTCGTTTACTTTTTTGATTGGTGCCTTTGTTTTTCTCTGTAATTCATTAATTCCGCAGTACCCGGTTTTCGGATCGTAGTAGACAGTTGCTAGTTTTGCTTTGGTTTTCGTCATTTACTCTGGGGGAAAACAGCCCGTGTGAGTGCCTAGTGATAAGCCGAGGACTCATTGGAAACCCGACTCATTTACTCCGGACCTATTTTATTTCTACAACATGGATGTCAAGCAGGAAATTGAAGTTTCGTTGGATGACGATACACCTTCTATCGACACCGCTGAGACTCTGGTGGAAGAAGTGTTGCTGCGGGAAGAAGACCCTGTCACTGAAAAACTCATGGTCCAGAAGAAGACGGATGAAATATATTTGGATGCGTTGCGAGATAGGGCTGAGAACCTACAGCACCTTGCAACCACAGCGCAGGCAAAGGTAAGAGCAAATTTGACAAAAAAATACTCGTTAGGCTGATGCTGCTGCAACAACCTATCGCCTAGAAAAAAATCGACTCGAACACTGCCAACGAAGGGTGGTAGAAAAGATCAAAGTTGGTTTGGAAAAGGAGGTTTAGAAAATTGTGTTATAGAAAAAGTCAAGAGTCAACCAAAAGAAGGAAGCTTTGCGCCGGCTTCGCCTCCGTGAAAAGTGGAAGAAGGCGCAGGCTGCCCTGGAAAAAACTGAGGACGAAGAAACAAGATGCTCGAACTCTGCTTCATCCCTAAATCTGCTTAACGAATAAATTTCATAACCACCGCTGACTCACATTTGGATCAATAACCGACAAACTTCCACACCGGGGGCCTGCGACTTGGCTTATCACCTCCCCGGCAAACGAGCAAACCGAAGCGTCTTTCCGCGACAATTTTTGGGGGAATGTGGCATAAATTAACTTGTTTCGGTTTGTAACTCGTTTCAAACTGGTTCGTTTCTCTTCAAATTCAAAATTTTGTCAAATCAGCCTGGCGCTATGTCCCAAAAAGTGTAGGACAAAGTTGGGACACTTTGGAATCTAGTGAATTTGGGACATTTTGGGACTGAAGGACAAAGTTGGGTCACTTGGGCCACTTTGGGACACTTTGAAATTTTGTGAAATTGAAGATAATGAAAGTGTCTCAGATGCTGTCCCAGCGGCAATTTTTATACACAACTCCGTGCCGATTTCTTGGGCGCTTCAGCCAAGTTTATGCAGCTTCACTGGTACCCATCGATTGGCAAGGCCGTCCCAAAAGGGCTACTTGCATGACTGTGCTGAATACCAGCGGGAAAACAGAGCCGAGCCGAGCCCACCGTCGACTATAGTATCGTCGCCCGATCGCCTGCCACCGAATATTCTTTGGGTTTTGGATCACGTAAGCATTCATGCTGCCATAAAAGCTTCAACCGTTAAAAAACTTGGCCGGCGCGTATTTGGGGGATTTTTGGAGCCTGGTTTGATAGCAGCCACCGAACTTCTCCTCCGATAAGCACCAGCGCCCATTTATTTTTTTATGATTTTCGCATTTTATAAATTTTTAACCATTTTTATAGCTGAAAAGAACTGAAAGAAAAGGTCAACATTATTCAAAACTGATGATATTTAGGATGTACTCGTTCGTAAAAAAAACTTTTGAAATACTGAATTCAAAGCTCTGTAATTGCTTTAATAATTGATCTACAACCAATTTCTGGAATGATGCAAATAATCAATAAATATACTAAACGACTTGGCGCAAGGCAAGGGTTTAAGTAAATGTGGTTAGCTAAAGCGGATTCGCGCGCAATCGCAATGAACCGCGCCCGCATTCCGATCTGTGCGCTTTTGAAAATCCGGACGCTGACTTTACGCTTTTGTAAAAAATCGTGATATCGAGCGCGGGCAGTTGCCAGCATCAACTTCCAACAAAAAAGAACTTTCAGAAAATGCCCGCTCAAAAATTTCCACCATGTCTTTTGCCAAGGACAGCTGTGTGTACACTGGATATGGGCCCGTACGGTGCCTACATTGTATCGGGTAAAAGGTTCCTTTAAATTTTGATTGTTTCACTCAGGAATCGGTCGTTTCATCGAGATTAGCAAAGCACAAGACGACCAGGCCCTGCCTCCGCACGTGTCTCGACAAAATTTGGTGAAGATTTTTGACGCTGGCGGAGAGGTCAGGCAGATTCTCGCCCTCGGCGAAAAAACCGGTAATAACATTTAAATTTAAAATAACGGTTAAAATCGTTAAATGATGTGACAAATTCCTAGACCCTACATTGATCGTCGTCTCACGATGCATGAAGATTGTCGTGCTCCGCAAGCTGCAATTACTGATCGGCAATCTTGGAGGGTAGGTCCCTTGAAGTTTTTGCCGCGTTAGAGCCTGCCTTTTTCTTTTTTCCAAAATAATGGATTTTAAAAGATACCGCCCTTTTTTTCGCATCTGGATGCATTAAATTACATCAAAAACGTCGCTACTTAGATCCGAATAACGATATCGTGAAATATTTCTTGCGGATAAGTATTTTATCTAGCTCGCATCCGGTGATCCCGTGCACCGAAGTCCTTGATTGGGTACCGGACCTGAAAAACTTCTACCCTCCACCCGTAAATGCACGCTTCGAAGTTGCTGGGGGTCAGCTCCTGGTCAGTATTTTGCATAGCTTACCAGCTACAGGCAATTTTTTTGATCTTTTACGAAAATCAGTTTTCCGAGAAGTCATTTTTCCGAACCGGATATTTTCAAAAAGTTGTATTTTAGCATATCACCTTTTCGAAATATTTGCATTGCTATTTCATAATTTCTTAATCATTGCAACTAAAGGTAATTTTGCGCGAATTCTGGTTTTCAAAAAGTGCGTTTTGGAAAAGTGTTATGCGAAATCAGTTTTTCGAAAAAGAGTACGGAAATGTTATCGACACCGGGATTATTGTGGAGCGTGAAGTTCTCCAAATAGAATTTAAAAGATTGATGCGACGACATTTTAGCTCAACGGTCCAACAATATTTCGTCTCAGAAATTTTCTTGACGTCAGTCCTGATCTGGTTCTGACCGTTGCTGAACAACTACCTAATAACCCGTCGGTCTTCCGTTTTTTTCACATAACGCCACATTTAGTAAAGCATCAAAGCGCAGCGTGGCTTGCTCGGAGTATCCAGCGTTCGCCTATTACCTAGAAGGCAGGCAGAATCTGGTGTACTGGCCGCCGCACGAGTTCACGCCGCGAATCTTTCCCTGGAGCCCGGTTCGGAATTTTTGATGGCGTATTAGAATCAGCTTAGCCGAAAAACGCGTCTATCGATGGCTGGGATATGATGCTTTGCAAGGACCAACTGTTTTTGGCTACGACGGAAACGCTTGTTTACATCAATGTCAAAAATGGAAACGTAAGCCGACAATAATTGTGCCCTTCGGGTCTCATCACAAAAACTTGGTAGTATTGAAAAATGCTATAACGGCGCCCAACAATTATAAACGTATAAGTTGCAGGTGTGTGAAACAAAAATTTACGATGCCGAAGGCGACTATCGGATTCCGAATCGTCACCTTAGCTGCGGCAGCCCAAATGATGTCTTTACTAGAGTGTGTGATGTTCAAACAATTATTCGAACATGTTCATTCGCCTCTGAATAAATTATTCAGAGTGAATGGAATGACGGTTTGCATAACGTCTGAATGATGCAAATGAGCTATCGAGGATTCAAACATATTCGAACATATTTGAATAAGGTGCATCGGTGATTACACAGAAATATGTCATTTTTCGCGCAATGTTTTTCGATGAGGTGGGCCCGTTTCTCATTCCCCTGCTAAAATGAACAATTGCACGTATAGTAAGCGCCGAGCGACATCCCCGAACCTCTGCTCGCCGAAGGCGAAGACGCCAAGGAGCCCATCCATCATCTGGCGGTAGCAGCCAGATCAAGCCAGATAAGAACGATGGTCTTTGCAGGGAATTTCAAAAATTGCCGGGCAGCGGTATGCAGTGCAGGCGATGCGCGACGAAATACGCCGGAAATGCTACGACCAACGCGCTGAGACACTTGGAAATGGTAAGTGCAAAAGCCAACCATTGAATGCTGTAGATACACCCCGAGGCCTATGCTGAACTACGTGAGGAAGAGGCAGCCGTATTGGCGAAGCCGGCACTACATTTCGATGACCTGCATTCGGACTACTTGTTCTACATTGGCTTGGCGACAGCCAACATCGCACCGGGAGCCATTTTGAATAATCCCTATCTTCAGAAGTGGTTTGGGCGTGCTAAGGTAGAGCCTTATTGAGACGCTGCCGATCGGGATTTTAGGTCACCTTGCCGTCCGTCGGCCGAATGAATAACATTGCCAATGACCTCAAGGTGCGACTTCGAGGAGAAATCACGGCCATAATTGGACAAACCCCAATAATCGCGATCAGCACTGATATTTATACGAATGTTAAAAGAGGTACTGTTAACAGTATAGATGAAGAAGTTCAGGCATTTCCCTTTGCGGCGTCATCGCGCATTCAAACTCGGGAAAACCGAGGGAATTGCTTTTGGATTTGGTTGATGTCTCGAAGCAACGTCACACGGCAGTTTTCCTAGCATCAGTTGTCCGTCAAGTGCTCGACGATTATGGGATCAGCCCAGATGTAGATTTTTGTTGATGATAAAGGCGAATGAGCAAATTTAGCAGCTAGTGGCTGTAACCACGGATGGGGCTTCATCTAATAAGGCCACGGCGACTTCGCTGAAAGTGCCATGGTTTGACAAAGTATTTATTTACCAGCTCTTAGGATCATCTGTTCGGCCCACAAAATCCACAACGGTGTGGTAAACTTCCTAAAGCTCTACGACACCCCGCTGGCGAAGATTCGAGAATTTACCCGCCATTTGTCCCGCAGTGTAAAAGACAAAGAATTGTTCAAAAGGTAAAATTGTTCAAATACAACAACTTCTTTTAGTCTGAGCCCGGGGGAACCATTGCCGCAGAAAGACTGCCCGACCCGCTGGTATTCGGCGTACCAAATGGTGGTTAGTGCTCTGCCCCAGGTGAGGACATAGGGGCACTCGCTAACTAGTTTTTCCGGTCGCCACCATCAATGCTATCAACGAAACGCGCAAAGTTGAGCTGATTTCGACGCAGGAAGTCAACGAAATCCAGAAGATCCTCCAGCCACTTTCTATCGCCCACGAATTGACCAAGAAAGTTGGTCATCTACCTAGTACGGGTCCCATTAATTATAGTTTTCTTCCGAACATTCGACCGTCGTTACCCGCTTTCGATTTTGGTCCTCAGCGAAACAACGTCTACGCAACTGGTTTGAAGACGTGACAATAATTCCATTATATGGACAAATAGTGGAACGAACGAAGCAGATGGGCTGCTGATAGCTTTGGAACAATATGAAAAGCACTTCACGGATCACGTTTCCTTGGTTGGCAGATCAACTGATATGAAATAGATACATCTTTCTGCAGGAGGGAGCAGTTTTTGATCCCTACGTTTATGGAAAACTTCTGGATCCCGAAGATTGGCGCCTAGCAGTTGAACGAATATTGGCGTCGGTAAATGATACAAATCAAGGTAAAAATAGGCCACAAGACGAAAGAATCAGAAAACCTAGGGCCCTCAATTTAGTAATTGAACTTTTTTAGGCCTCGCTGCTACTATGGCGAGCCATTCAACTGGTCCGGGCTTCGTCGATGACGATCTTTCGGTACTCGGATTGTCCATTCAGCCCACGCGATCGGCGATTGAGGTACGCTGTGGTCGAGTTTACCCAATTATCTCAGGTGGAATTCGACCTATATAAGGCTACTTCTCTCGATGCCGAGAAGTTGTCACCTTACGCTGGATCGGTAGCAAAATTCTGGGATGCGCAGCGGTTTGTGATGCCCAAGGTCCAAGCCCATAAGAGACCCGCCTTATGTTCCTATCTTTAGCTCTATGTCGTCGCCTCGAGATACTTAACGATGCCTGCCGCATCAGTTGCTGTCGAGAGGGTGTTTTCTATCTGTACGCGGCTGGCCTCGGACCCGAGACGGTGCCGCCTTCATAACGACACCTACCAAGAATTTGCGCTCATTTCGTGCCAGATCAGCTCCTTGAAGTAGTTCCAAAACGGGTCCCTGGCTTCATTTAAAATTCAGGAACATGTACCGTCGAGAGGCCGATGAAGATCGCCTCTTGCTCGAAGCCGAAATGCTCGCTTTTGGCTGCGAGGTCGTGTCAAATGAAGACGCCGACGACGGTATGGGGATGACTAAGAAAAACGCTGTAACATATTTAGAAAGTGGCGACGATGATGACTACTTTGAGCATGCCGCACAAGATTGAATCCGCTATTGATCAAAACCGATTGCATAAAGCGCCTTGCATCCTCACTTGTGATTATTCAAACATGTTTGAATAAATGTGAACCGACTGATCTGAATAATCAATGTTCGAATAATTCGATCGGATTGTTTGAATAATCATTGTTCAGAGATGTTCATTCAAACAGCGTTTGGTTCACCGATAACACACTCTAGTCTTTACCGCAGGATATTACGTTAGCGTCAACGGTATTTTTCTGGTCGAGAAAATCTATGAAACTTTATTCTCAAGAAAAACGGCGAAAAATAACGCGTCGCTGATTGTGAATTCAACAGTCCAAAAATCGGAAGCGCTAATAAAACACAATTTCAGATACCGTGCTGCATTACGTCGTGAAATCGGATAAATTGCTGTTGGCGCGGATGATTACTCCGGCTATAGGGCGAATTCACTCCTTGGAATGTCGGTCACGAATTGCCAAGGTGGAGACGCAATTTTTCGATATGTTCGAATTGATGCTTTCAGCCAATCGGCGGGACTTACGGAGGTCTGGGCATCATAAAGGCCAGCAAGCATCGAGCCCATGAAATGTTTGGGTATGAGCTGGTAAATCCCGCGGGGTCCAAATTCGTGGTAAGTGCAAGCAGAAAACTGCGGCCGCGACACTTACGGCCCGCATTTTATTATATAAATGGGCCGCAAGTGTCGGGCCGAAATGGTCGGGCCGCAAATGTCGTGGCACCATCTATGGGAATCCCGCGTTGATCTTCCTTTTCGTTTCACCTCCGGTCCGCACCATCCCTTTAAAGATCCATCGTACTTTTCGCCGAAAAGGACAGTGTTTTTGGCCCAGCCCGCAAATCGGTGTGTAACATACCTCCATCGATATAACATTGCAAATAAATGTGAGGTTTAAATATTATTTTTCGTGGAACGCCCCTCTTTTAAAGGGCTATTAGTTTTTCCTGGGTTACAGGGTTCTATTATTTTTAAAATTGAGTTTTTTTTGTTTTCAAACTTCCTAATTTCTAAAGTTTTTTAGTTAGATAGTTAATACAATAGAGCAAAATTTGCTGAAGACGATGGCTGGATTTGTTTTTGTCAAATCCTGCCAGTAGATCAAAAACAAAATATTTGCGTTTGAAAAGGCAAATTTTCTTAAGAAACGCTTGAAAAACAAAAAAAAACTTTAAAGAAGGGTATTGCGCAAAAACTAATATTGAAAGCTCGCATTTGTTTTCGGTTTTTTATCGATTGATGCATATTATTATACATAGCGATTTGCGAGCCGGGTCAAAAACACTTTCCGTGTCAGCCAACGTGTCATTGCAATCAAAAATGTTCTTAGCTTGAAGTTGCGAGTCTACCTCTGCCTTGTCCCTTCACTGGGTATGCTTTTTCATGAATTCCGTCGATTTCTCGCTGTGTTTTGCATTTATTTTACTTAGTTCGTCTTTAGATAACCATTTCAGCTTTATGGAAGGCACGGAGGCCTTTATCAGCCCCTTCAGTGCGCACAAGCCGATGACTGCCGAACGCGTACTCCATTATAACCCGCTGCAGGGCAGTTTTGTATTTTTGCTGAGGTCCGGAGCAGTGCATATCGGCTGTCAAATCCCAAAGCTGACGGTCAATAACGGCCTACGTGAGTTTGCCTTGGTCCGCGATGATCTTCGGGAGCCTTTCAGCCGCCAGTTTGGAGCCCATCAAAAAGGCCCAAGTTATTTACGAACCCGGATGGACTTATAGTATGCCGGCCGTGCACTATTTTGATGAAGAGAAGCCAGTGTGGGTCTAATAAGAGAACCCATTTAAATCAGTGTGCCAAATAAAAATGGCCTCAACATCTTATGCAGAATTTTTCGCTGATTCCGAATCTGTTCTCGAAAGCGACAAAAAGTCCCTGGCTCGAAAATTCTAGCATTTGTAAGTCCAGTTTAGCTAAAATTGCCAAAGTTCAGGCTCGATTCTCTTGAACTTACTTGCTGACTTTCTAAAATCCGGAAATTTCTAAAAAGCAGAAAGGCTTCATAACTTTTAACCCCAACTATTTTTCTCGTGTTTAAAACCAGATTCGCAATCAGCAAAAATTTTTTCACAAGATGTGCTAGGTCAGCATTTGAATTTCCACCCTGACCCCCAGGGGTTTCCTTGTTTGGCTACGAACTAGGTCTTATTCATAGGCTGGGCATCAAGAACGTTACCACGAATCAAACTCTTGACGCCCTGTTCAAGTACCCTTCGATCTTTGCCAGACGCCGCGAAGGTGCAAAATATCTCTTCCAGGTTCGATTATTGTTGCAAAACATGAAATGGTGGCCTTAGCATTTCGACCATCACCCGGATCTCGTCAGCGGAAGTGAATTTTCCTTCCCAACACACACAATCGTAAAAAGGACACATGAGAACGATAAGGTCATCCGTTTGGTAAAGCCCGGAACGCGAATTTCGGACGATGTGCAGTGCTTGCTGATCGCTTGGGGGTAAGGCCAAGCAAAGTGTCAGAAACGGTTGATTTAGCCAGGGATTCTTCTGTTATCGGCTTGTTAGAGGTAGTGGTCCCGTGGAGTTTATCAGCACGACGACATACTGCGACAACATTACCAGCCATAGGTCAGTTTTGGCTGGACCAAGTTTTTCAGAGACATCCCAGTTTGAGAAGGACCAAGTTTAGCTTTTGCAGAATGTTGCGCTGATTCCCCAAGTCTGTTTTCCAAATTTTCTTAAACGGCATTCTGAAGAAGTTAAGCGCATTTTAGCGCCTGATAGCAAAATTTAGACTCATGCAAAAATTAAAAAATTCAATTTAAATTGAAGAGAAAATATCTCGTCAGACTAGTTGGCGAATCACGTACAGAACAAAACGCTCGTGCGGATGAGTGATTCTTTTTCCAAAAATGCGTTGCAAATTCTTCAAAATACCGCGTAAGGAAATTTTGAAAACAGATTCGGAATCAGTGCAAATTCTGTGCAAAATAGGCTTGGTCCTGCTCAAAGCTGGGATGCCACTCAAAAACTTCTTTTTATGAGCGACATTTTCACTAACAAAAACTTGGCGTACGTCCGCCATTTAGCCGTTTTGTACGAATTAATTTTCCAAGCTTGTTAGCCATCACCAAGTTGTTTCTAGACATTCCAAAGTCGTGGATTTGTGCTACAACCCAATGAATCAAGTGCTTTCCCTTTTGCTTGGCAACGCGACAGTTGTCACCTACCAATGTACGATCAAACAGCGTGGGTTACGTCGATGAATTCTCTACCCGAGGCGGTTTTAGGCAAGTTCTGTTTTACACCGTTGCGTTGGGCGGCAAATAACCACATGTACCGCGCCGAAGCATTTATCACCGCAGGGATTCACGGCAACGTGGTAAATACCAGGGCGAGATCGATGGCAAAAAAAGGTTTCAGGTGTTTGGCTATGGACGTGGGCTGAATCCGTTTTGTAGACGGGTGCGTCAGGGTGGAGGTTTTAAACATTTTGGCTTTAGGCAATTTCTGTGTTGTTGTACGATGCTGAAAAGGAGCACTTGCTGTTCGCGTCGGTCAAGGATTACCAGAAAAGCTTTGAATTTGAGCAGAGGATGTTTGGCCTGTGGGTTTTGTTGAGCTTCAAATCCAGACGCGGCGAAGGTCAGCCGTTTGCTAGAAAATGAGGGCTAATGCGTATTCGCGCTTGTCCATAGCATTTGTAGAATTCTCGTTCAGGGCGCTTTGAACTGAGAAAATTTTCAAGGCTAAAATCTGCCTTTAGAAGGATTGCGGCCAAATCTTCAGACGATGCCTGTGGCGTACGAACCTTTTACGGAGTGGATGAAGAATTCACGGTGATTTTTTTAACAAATCTGTATTTCCAAGCGCAGGCGGTTTACGGCGAATTTATGCACAACACTCCGCCGCTAAAACGACCTGTTATTCGGCAAACTGTACGCAAAATGATAAGTTACCATATCAAGGAACATGGGTTGACTTTGGTGAGTTAGCTGATTAGGTGCATATTAGGCTTGGCTTCAGATTGCCGCGCTCGGAACCTCCGTTACGATCCTGGTTTACGATCCTACGACAGGTATTCTAAAAAAGTTCTTTAGCCCATAACGTCTTTTCTAGAAACGCTCGTGAATGCTAATCATCATACATTGGCTATGGAATATTACGACGGGGTCTTTGTTAAGGTATGGGTTCGAAATTGCCAACTCATCGTTTTCAAGCCATATTTTATGACAACCAATGGCAAGCCGACGATAAGGACGCAGCTAGTGCTCATCTCAAGCGAAGGGGTCGAGACGCTGGACCTCCGCATTCGCGGCTGTAAATACAAGGTCGAATATTTTCCGGAAGTCGAAGTTGTCGAAAGGCGCTCGCACACACAGATGGCCCCTTCCGATCGTATTGGCAATCGACAAATCTGCGGAGGGCACGCGGTAGTATAAACTCTCCTGGAAAATATTTCTCATTAGATTGGTTCCAACGATCGCATCGTTTTCTGGATCGAGAAATCGCTTCAAAATGATCTGACCGTGTTTTATCAGGGGTAAGTCGTTTTGACATAAAGCTTCTTGGTGCTTGTTCAATGTAAGTAACGCATTATAATTTCAGAGCCATTGTTTTCTCATTTGCCGATGACGCGTTCAGTATGGCGGACCTACGTGAACACAAAATTGTCTTATCTGGTAACCACATGAATGCTCGAACGCGGGTAAGCATTGCACCAGTGCTACTCTCAAGAAACATTCACCTCCCGATTTTATACAATTTGTCCGTACTATAGGGCCATTTAGTTATGCTCTCCCAAAGTTTAGAAAAAGCGTTTGGCACGCTCAAATTCGCGTGAAAATGCCAAAGAAAAAGCGCCGCAGGCGGAAACTTTTGGAAAAATAAGCTTCATAGAAGTAAAAAACGTATTAAAGACAGCCGGAGGCGCGTGCCAGGAGTGACATTTTTGAAGTTGTCATTTTTTTATTGGGTTTCTAGCCGTTTCTTTTATGGAAACATCCAGACCGTCGACAAAAATCAAAAAGATTTCGGAAAATGGCCATTTTTTTCGAACTTCAGGACATTAGAAAATTAGACGACCCTATAGCGTGTATTTTATAAAATTTGGAAGGTGAATGTATTTTTAAGTCCTAGCGTTAACCGCCAGCTGCCCAGATTTATCTCATCCGCGAGCCACCTTACAGATCTTTCCTCACAATGGCTTGGACAGTGCCATTGGATGCATCCAGGATCACCACGACGCGAGCACAAATAAGCGCCACCAGGTGGCCTAAGTTGGATGTCAGCAAAAAATTCTTCAGCTAGCTTCGTTTTGGCGTGTTTACCACCAGGGGCCAATGGCGTTCCTACCAATAAAATGGATCGACGGTGCCATCGAAATGCTTGGGGTAAATGCTACGGTATTTTTGGTTTTCGATCCGAGTTAGGCATTTGCAGATTGCGGATGGTAAAACACACTTTGATATTGCACTGCCGAGTCAGCGCGACCAATCGGCTGTGGATAAGAACGGTAATACCATAAACTTCCTGGTCTTCCATTTATCACAATTTCAAAAGCCTCCAAAATCTTGCAGTAAACCAGTATTTCTTCTATCGACGACCCGACGAGTACTGCTGGGTGTCGCTGCCAAGCCGACGTGACCTTAGCAACTGCGATAAAAGCAGCCTCCAGAAATACAAAGCACATTTCCACTCGGACAAGGGGACAATGTCGCTACATACAAACCTTGGACTGCACCAAGCGCTCCCCCTATTCGAGTAAGTTCTAAAATCGCCAAAGAAAATGTTCTGTGCCCAAGTTCTGTCCGTACATGTGGAATTTTCCGTGTTATTGCTAGTTCTGCGATTTAGCAACCACGGCCTGGCGTACGGCACGGATGGCCTGCACATCATGCGCGCGTGCTCCTGTTTCAAACCGCCGCCACGGGAATAAAGCACTACCATAATTCAGGCTGCAGCTTTTCTGGTTTTCCTTCGGGTTTTGTTAGTACAATAAAGCATTATATTCATCATTTTATTCGCGAAAACAAATTTCGTTTTAAAATCTGCCGTATCGGCAACCGCTGTTGGTTTTGGTCTCCGCGTGAGTGATCCCGCAGTGACAACCTTTCTTCCTCCCGTCCCTGACTTGGGATGTACAGTGAGAGTGGATGGCGGCACTATATACCGTTGATTTAAATTCAGGCAGTTGATTTCAGGCTATTCATACATTTTAAACAGAATGTGAACGCCTGTGTTTTTCTGACAAGGAGACGTTTTTGAGTGTCGTCGGGACTTTGGCACGGGACCAAGCCTATCTTGTGCAGAATTTTACGCTGATTAAGAATATGGTAACCATTTTTGCGGAATAGCCATTTCGCGTAATTTATGAACGACCAGCGCTGACCCCCCGCTACGCGGGGGTTCAGCACTGGCCTTCCCACTACCCACACAATTTGAATTTTGAATTTGGATGCAGAATTTGGCTGAATTCCCGGTCGGCGGGCGTACGGACATTAGAAATTTATCTATAGTAGATTTGAACCTCAAATCCGCCCAAAATCGGCTACTTTCGATAGTCATAAAAGGCTTCGGAATAGGTTATAGACAAAACTTAATAGTGCATCCTGTTCAGAAAAAATTCTCTATAAAATGTACCCTCTTCTCCAAAATCATTGAAAAGTTAGAAAAATTTGATAAATTGGGAGGCCCCTAATTTTACAAAAATTTTTAAAATTCCAACATTTTTGAGTTAAGTAGCTTATTTGATAGAGAATTTTTTTTTGAACAAGATGCACTATCTGCTTTTGTCTAAAACCTATTCCGAAGCCTTTTATGACTCTCGGAAGTAGCCGATTTTGGGCTGTTTTGAGATTTAAATCGTTCATAACTTTCGAGAAATGGCTATTCCGCAAAAACGGTTACCATATTCGTAATCAGCGTAAAATTCTGCACAAGGTAGGCTTGGTCCCGTGCCAAAGTCCCGACGACACTCAAAAACGTCTCCTTGTGAGTAAAACCTGCTAGCTAACTATTCTGCAATATTTTTCTGGTGACTTTTAAGAGTCATTGTAGTTAGGGTCTTTTTTGCATTGTAGTCTACTCAAATACGTCCTAACTTTTCATGTATCGTCATTCAGCAATTCTGAAAACAGTCTCCGAATCAGCGTAAAATTCTGCACCAGATAGGCTCCATGCCATCTCAAAGTACGTCATTTTAAGCATTTTGTTTATGCCATTTTAAGCTTCGTGTTTTCTTCGCCAAGCAGTTTAGTGCCATTCCAGGACTGCCCAAGCACCCGATTTATTACGAAGGGACAGAGATACATACTACACGCGATGGCAAACAGAATGATGGACAAATTTAGATTTACAAAAAAAGACAGCGAGGTATAGAGGAGGGGCGGGGCTTATAGAAGGGCTTTTTTGTGATGCATCGAGTAGTGTCAGTGGTAGGCGACCGATTACGATGCCCATCGTTGGATCGAGTAGTTGGAGACGAGTAGTCGGATGCTTCTGAAAAATAAATGACATTCCTGATAGTATCGCAAAGCACTTACACCTTCCGCCAGTGCTTGCAGTGCTAGCCTCCGATGGGCCCTCCTCGGCGTTGCTGATCGGCACAACATCGAGGTCGACGACCGCCGTGCCAACGCCGACGTTCATCTACAAAACAGATACTGTATTTCCTCTAATATGTAAGCCAGGGGTTACATTTTTCAATCAACTGATGGGAGAGGGTTGTATTAGAGGTAGGGAGGGATATATTTGTAGTGATTTCAGCAATTAAAACGATTTCTAGCAGTTTAAACTGCTCACAACCACTCAGGAAAGCAGTACGAAGCTTAAAGATAAACGTTTTTTGCGTTTTTTACTTCTTAAAGGTAACTTCGAAAAATTTTCATTTGGCGGTGTGGAGTTTTTGACAAAAAGCGTGGTCTTTCGCATAAAAAATGGCGAAAATCGAGCAAAACGTTTCGGAATTTTGAAAATCGGCGAGACGGAAAAAGAGAAAAAGACAGGCCCGACAGATTTCGATAGATACCTAGATTGTGAAAATCGGAAGCGTCAGACGAATTTTTGGGACAACCTGTACAGCCAACCGACTGCTCTCATCGACCCACCATGTCATCGACAATCGGCTTGCTTCCCTTCGGGCCATTGTCTTTCTTCTTTAGACAGAAGCACAGCACGATGATGATCACGATGATGAACACCAAGAGACCGCCACCCAGGGCTGAAGAAGTCATTTGAGCCATACGGCCAACCATTCTACCTGCAATCAAGATGACCTCATCCCCCCAGTCCGTCTTTCGGTTGCTCGGTTGTTGTCTTTGCCGTAGTCTTTGCCGTTGTCGTCGTAGAGGCTTTTGTCGTGCTCGTTGTCTGGACCGAGCCGACGCAGTGGAACTGGAGAAAATGTTTATCTTCCTCAGCCCTAAGCCTAAGCTTAATTGTAAGCCTGAGCCTAAGCTAAGCCTCAGCTAAGCTTGCCTAAGTTTTAGCTTATGCCTATGCCTAAGTTCGAGCCTAAGTCAGGCCTAAGCCTAAACCCAAACCTAACCGCAAGCCTAAGCCTAATTCTAAGCCTGAGCTTAAGCCAAGCTACGTCCACGTCTCCCCACGTCTCTCACCTCCTTCCGCTCCTCGTCCGTCAAAGCACTGCACTGCTTGTAGACGACGCATGGGATACCGGCAACATCATTCTTGTAGTAGAGCAGATTCTTGCGCCAATCCCTGGTATCCGGCTGAAATACGGAAATTGTCGCCTGGTAGATGATCATGTCCTAGCAAATGACACCCAAAAAACCCACAGCACGCCCTTCGACATTTCCTCGACACTGCGGGATCGGATTGCACGGCGGGTTGAGGGACCACGGGTCTCGGCGACGCGACTTCTCCACGTCGCACCAATCCAGCTTCTCCTTTAAAGAGTATCATAAAGAATCAGAAGCGATATCTACCGTAATGCTGAGGACACCGAAATAGTCTTTTTCCGGATTGCTGGGGATGGGTCGACAATCCGGTTTCTCCGTCAATCCACGGCCATTTTCGTTTCTTGGACAAATATCCATGCAGTTCAGCAGGTCTCCGTTGTCGCTGACCGGTCGCAGGTATTTTTGTCTGAAAATGGAGGGAGCATTGAGGTTCTTGCGCATTATCGAGGGGGGATTTTGTGTAAGTCAAGTAGGTCCATGCCTCAGCCTGACAAGGAGACGTTTTTTAGTGTGAATGGAGTTTTAAGTTGAAACCAGGCCTATTCTGTGCAGAATTTTACGCTGATTCCGATGCTGTTTTGCAATTTTGCTAAATAGCTCGATTTAAAAAGTTACAGCTATTTTAAGATAATTTTTAGGCCCAGAGTAGCCATATGCTATGCTGTGCTACTTTTTTGTTATAACGTTTTAATTTTGTTTAAATAGCCTAACTTGTAGAGAATTTTTTCTGATTCGAATGGTATATTTAATTAGTGCGCTACTGCCGATCAACGATGGCTTACAGGGGTGAGAAATAGGCTGTTTTTCACCATTTCCCATACAAAAATCGCAGCCCATACCAAGTATCGTCGATTTTTTCGATTTTCAACAATTTTGAGTTAAATAGCTCATTCGATAGAGAAAATTTTTCTGAATACGGTGACGATATTTATTTTTGGAAAAACAGCGGGGAAAAGCAGGATAATGGTCCCTAAAGAGGGGAAAATTTGGGCTCAAATGATCTTAAAATTGCTATAACTTTTGAAATCGAGCTATTTAGCAAAAATCGAAAACATATTCGGAATCAGCGCAAAATTTTGCACAAAATAGGCCTGGTTTCCACTTAGAACTCCATTCACACCAAAAAACGTCTCCTTGTGAGCCGAAGCCTGAGCCAAACCGAATCCTAAGCCTAGGCCTAAGCCTAAGCCTAAGCCGAAGCCTAATTAATCGGAAGTATTTTAAGAACGTTTTAGTAAAATAAAACTATACTTTAGCTAGAAAATCCATCCAAAACTTTCAAAAAATTTTAAGAAGTCGTTTGGTCAAAAACTCGATTGCGTAAAGAAAATTTTTTGCCCCCCCCCCCCCCCGCCCCGATAATGCGAAAGAACCGATGATGGGTGTACTGTGCAGCAGACTCACTCATCAAATTCTCCCGGCTGGTCCAGCTTGCAGAACGGCAGTATCATACATCCCCAGCTCGCCACATTCTTCGGCTCAAACGGATTGGCGTGAGGTTCGGTGCACCACTGAAAAAGTCAGGATACTTCGGGAATGGGAAAACGCCAAAATCCCGACAGCCAAAATAGCGATTGCCTTAATCCCCACAGCCAAAATCCCGACATCCAGTAACCCCAGATTTTGAAACCATTACTGGGTAAAACGACCGAAAATACCACATTTTGGCTGTCGGGATGTTAGTTGTCGCTGTTTGGACTGTCGGCATTTTCACTGCCCGGATTTTGCGTCGGGATTTTGGCTCGAATTTTTCGGGGATCGCTTGTCAGCTCATCATATCTTTAAAAACGACACTCACCGGCTTGTACCTGCCCTGGCCAAGAATGTAGGTCTTCAGCGGGCGCGGGTAGCAGATGCGGGCCAACGAGTCGTTGGCCAGGATTTCACTTGAAAGGGGTCGTGAAATCGCAGCACGTGGATTATAATGATACCTAGGAAAAGCATTCTGCTCGTCGCACCATGTCCCTTCGTAACACCCAAAACGGAGCTTCATCGACGCCAAGGCCAGTTCTTGCGCAGTCTAAAACCAAAGCTCTAGCAGAAAAGATGACTACAAACCAATTTGTCAAAGTCTTCCCGGCTGCACTTGGGGTTGTAGGCGGGGTTGATCGGGTAGTAGATGAACACGTTCGCATCTTCGTCTCGCTTGGTGCGCTGACGAAGCCGGATACGCTTGATCGGCGCTCCAACAGCATCGGCATCAGGGTTAACGCGCTGCAAGAATACCAATCATATCCATCTGGGTTTTTCGATTCCGGACTGTTAGCAGGGGGGTCCAAACACCTTTTATTGCTCCACCTATAACATATACCACTTGTTGAGGATATAGGATGTTTTTAATAGTGTTTTTAATAGCTTTTTTTATATTTTTTATAATAGAAACTTTTATCATATTTTTTAAATTTTGAAGGTTTGAAATTTTTAATCTTTTGGTAATTCTCATATATTTTTGGCCAAAATGTCTCGTTTTTTGCAAATTTTGATTATTGCCGATATTGCTTTTATATCTTAAAACTCTGTAAAATGCGAAAAGAATGATTTTATTTTGTTATAGGGGCGTATCACGCGGAAAATTTGGTCCCCCCCCGCTAACAGTGCAGAACCGTTAGTCGAGCTTTGTGCAGGAAATTGGTTTTCCCAAAAACCAACCGGATCTGCATAGCGCGGTCCTGGGAAGTTATAAAGGATCTGAAAGGTGGCGTTTGAATGGAATCCATGCAGTATTCTGTGCCTGTGCCGCCGCAAAAAAACTGGGCTTACTGCTGAGTGGACATCATCATAGCGGTGCATGAAGGTGGTCCAGAGATGATGCCATCGGCAGCGTGGATCCTTTGATATGCCGTCGATGTGGACCTGAAGAAGCATTGGGAAGACTCCAGATACCCCCCTATCCCCAACCGGCCCCCAACTTTTGTATCTCGGCGCCCTGTTGATCTACAGGTGTATGAAGTATGCCAAACTGTTTGTATTGCTCTGGCGAGCATTGTGTAGACTTTGCACACATCTAGACGAACAAGAAGCGTTCCATTTGGCCGGGGGAAAAACAGGAGGAGCGTTTTTGGCTATTTTCGCTATTTTTCTGGCGTCTTCTCGATGTGTCGAAGCATCGAAAAACATCATAATAACTACAATTATATGCCAAAACAGCATTAATTATACAAAAAAGTTCTAGCAACTACGAAAAAACCTCGGAAACGGGTCGAGACGCTAGTTTTCGATATTTTCGACATTTTTTCGATATTTAGAAGACGCCATTATTTGTATGATTTTTGACGCCCTATCGAATGGCGTATCAAAAATGTCGAAAAAAAATGGAGGAACGATTGGAAACCATCGTTCAAACACCCTTTTTAGAGGTTATTTTTGTTTTGCTATAACTATTTTATATTACATAATTTTGAGCTACCAAAAAACTATTAGTATCATTTTTTTTTGCTCTATCGAATGGCGTTAAAAATCCTATCGAAAACTTTGGGAGCCTCGGGCTGGGGGGGGGGGGGTAAAGTAAACCGTAGCCGAACACCCTGTATGCATAGATTGTGTATTACCACATCGCCGATCACGCAAAATATTTGGCAGACGGGCCGAGCGCGGTTTTCAGGCCTCATGCATTGATTGCAGTCGTAATGATCTTGCCATTCGGGACGAGCGCAGTCCATGCAGTACGGATCCCTTTCATCACACTGAAAGCAATCAGTTTTCATGAGTTTTCCACCTAAAAAAAGGATAGATTTGCGTTTTTTTTTGAAGGCCGTCATGACTTTTTTAAAAACCTTTTCTGACGTCAAACGTGT